TACAGAACTGCAGAGAAAAGAACTAAGTGGGCACTAATTTAACACAATTGAAATGCGATTTATCTCAAAATAATCAGCTTCTTTTTGTTGTCTTTTTTTATTTACAACTTTGATCTTTACTTTGCTGTGCTGTATTGTTTGTCACACAGTAAAGAAATGATCTGATTTCTTGTTTTTAAATTCAGGTTGTTAGATGTGTCTTTTCGCTTTTATTTTCCGGTGTTTTCTCAAATGTTATCTGTTATAGCAGGGCTCAAAATTAACAAAATCCTTAAGTCGCCATTTGGCGTCTAAGTGGTAAAAAATAGTCGCTAAATGTAAATTTTTAGTCGCAAAATCAACTAGAAGAGACACAATCCATACAAATACATGACGTACTCAATCCTAAAGGGTTTGCAATGCACTATAGGAAATTTTGAACAGGGGTAGCCATTTTGAAGTTTTCAAGAGAGAAAGAGTTGTTTACTTTAGTGTGCCTTAGAATAATCAAACATGGCAATCCAGTTGCGATCAAAGAATTGTAGGTTTGTCTTATTATATCTATTCAAATAAATTGTGTCTTTCATCCACAAGTAATGTTCTTTTTCCTTTGAGATTACTGCTAGCCCTTTTAATTTGTGTCAGTAAAGGCAAAACCTAGTCGCAAATTTGTGGCTACTCTCATTATTCTAGTCGCAAATAAGTAACTTAAGTTAAGAAGCAAATGCAACTGTATTTGTCGCAATTTCAAGTCCTGTATAGTAAAATAATAGACTGAAATTCTCTTGTATTTGGATTTGTTTTGTCCTCCCAAGTTGATATATTAACTCATTTTTGCGAGTTCAATTTTCTTGGCTTTTGTCATGCGGCAAAGAAAAAATAGAATTTTCTGTTTTCCTATCAGTTTTACACATCAAGTTGAGTTCTTTTTGTTGATATTTCTTAGTATTTTTGGCCCTTCGTTAATTCAACTTTAATAAACAATGTCTTGAAACCTGATCTTTTGTCTGTGGTTTCTGCACATATGGTTTATTTTTGTGCATCTGCTCACTCTGAAATATTTCAAAAAAAATGCCGAAGAGTTAGGGCGTCCATCAGCAGGCAGGTTGTGAATCATTATGTCACATCCATATTTTCGTGCGGAAAATTATGCAAATTAAATTCGAATCCAAGCAAGGGGAACAAGTAGACTTCTTGTGACTTCGTCGCTCACTCATCGCTACTTTGTTGCTCGTTTATTGTGACTTCGTCACTCTTGGAAGTAGAAGTTGACTTGTGGGCAAGTCTACTTTCATACATGTACATGTAGATGTTAAAGGATGGTTCATTGAGGTACATGTTTTCCCATCTGCACATAGTTCAACTTAAAGAAACAGTCAAATGTCCAGCAACCTCCAACCACCATGGAGCTCTGAAGCTATTGTTGAAAACTACAGTGTAAAAGTAAGGCAAACAAATTTTACTGACTTTTGCTTGATAAGATCTCACTGAAAATTTGAATGCCCGCAAAAATTTGCCAAAATCTAATGTCTGGAAGTGAGATTTTGGAGTAGTGAAAATTTGTGAAAGCGAAATTTACCAGTCATTTGGGATCATGTGTACTAAATGCATCCGCGGTCAAGTGTCAATCAATTACCCTCGACTGATACCCTTGATCGACATCCTGATCAACACTGGTGGGCACTGCATGCATCGATAATCGGTCAACACTCGATCAACAGTTTGTTGATGGTCAGCCAAGTGTCGACCAACTGTAGACCAAGATATCAATAGAGTGTCAACCAAGTGTCAACTGAGGTGTCAATGAAGTATCGATTGAGTGTTGACTGAGTGTCGATTGAGGGTCAATCAAGGCTATCAACCAACACTCGACTGCAGATGCCTTCAGTACACATGATCCGTCATTTGGCAGTCTCAAAATGCAAATCTGAAAAGAAAACGTTGAAACACCAAAAATTTTAAAAAAGAAATGAGGGAACTTATTCATACATTCGGAGGTAAAAAATATCTTGACATGTGTCACTTGTAGCAAAGGTGGAACTGCTCATTCTCAGTTTGGTGTTTGGAAAAGTGTTTCATTCCTTAATTTCAACAGGATGGATCATGGCCCTGAAATGTGCAAATTTAGTTGAATTTCATTTGCATTACTTTTGCACAACACTGTAGGTGCCCAGTAAACAACAAGAGCTGCTGTCATTGAATAGGATGCAAATCAGCGGCTGGATATTGAAAAATTGGATCATCTGTACTAAAGGCAACTGCAGTTGAGTGTTGATTGATACCCTCAAATCAATACCCTTGATGGGCACTCCATCAACACTTGATTGACACTCCATCGACATCTCAGTCTCGAGACAGTCGACAGTCGTCTAATTTTTGATCGATGCATACGAGTCGATCGACACTCTGTTGACTATCGACCAACTGCTGATCAAATGCCGATCAAGTGTCAACCAAATATCAATCGGGATGTGGATCAAGTACTGATCGAGATGTCCATCGAGGGTATCAATTGAGGGAAGTGATCGACATTTGACTGCTGATACCTTAAGTACACATGATACTAAAAATTTAATTGCTTTTGTTTTCCTTGGTGTATGCCAACCATGATGAATGCATTAAAAATGTTTCAAAAGCACTTGTGACATCACTGCAACCATACATGTACTTTGAACTGATAGCCAATCAGAGTATGAGAATTATCTGAGCATATGTGTGATTCTTGGTTTAATAATAATTATATGATTATAAATTATAGTTTACCAAGGACATCAAGATAGACGCTGCTTTCCACTTTTGTTGCTTCCCTGGTCTTGACAGCAATTGTATATATCCCTGTATCTGAAGCAGTCACATTGTAAATGATCAATGTGCCTGGGCGTTCCAAGTTAAAACGATCTTTGAACTTTGAAGAAACTTTAAGGCCACGGGTATCAATATACCCAATGTACACGTTGTCTGCACCAAAATGGAAATCAACCTCCTTAAATTCCTCATCGCCAGCAATGGTATAGTTCCAGCGTAGGTACACTACTGAAGTGTTTACAAGAACCTTGACAGGGTTGTCCACTTCCAACAAAATATTAATCGACGCTTCTGCAAGCAAACACAAGAACCAGGGGGCATCAATGACCATGAAACGTAAATTAAGGATGGCTATTTACTCTGTATCAAACAGCAAATGGTTAAATTGATAAATAAAGGATGAAAGCATCATGTCG